GTGTTTTGGTATTATTTGATAATTACTTAGTGACTCAGATAAGTTCAATAATTCTTTACAAGGCGTGGTCAGTCACAGATTGACGTAATTATTGGAACTAGTTCTGATTGTGGAAAAAAACCTAATTCTTTGACGAATATTGAAGGGATGACGATATAAAGAAAATTAGGTAAAATATGTGATTTGTTATGTTATGTCCCATTATCATGTTGATTTAAAACGAAACACAAAGAATTAATATTTTATAGCAAAATCCTTTTTTGCTCGCCTCAATTAAAATGTGTGAACCCTAAACCTATGAAAATATAGCTCGAGTTTAGACAAAGCTAGCTAAAACTTACAAAACCACGTCAATGCTGTGAATACAGTAGTCTTGTGCTTCCAGGAGAGCACAGTGTTGACGTTCGTATTTTCGATCAAAGTGTACAGGATTCGCCATTCGCGTGCAACGTAGGAGCACCAGAGAAGGTTGCGGTGCGAGCCGTACCCAGGCGAATATTGACCAAAGATCTGCACACAGAACACAGCTTTGAAAGTGAGTTCAATTTTATTGCAGGTGTGATACTATGTAGATATGACATTTGCCCGAAAGTTAGTAGCAATCGCAGTTGTACGCGAAATTGAGTCGCGCCCACTATTCCGCTGCAGCGAGCGCATTCTTACTTCCGTCGGCACATATTGAGTCATAGTGTTTATGTCTATCTCCGTTTCAAATTAGCTTTAACGTTTTAATGTGCCGAAAATAGCCGTCTGCCGGTATCGTATCAAAAACTGTGCACCCGTAGTTATCGGACGATCTAGTGGTCGTTCTTCAATTTACATGTGTCACATCGTCACACTGTTTCTTGCAAAAATTGCCATGAAAACGAGTCCAACCCAACAGACCAGAACACATAGCCCATCATTTCCCGCTGTTTTTTGCGATCCACAAAATTCCGTTGCCGCTGCGCCGACGTCGTCGTCGTCGCCGTCGTCACTTCGTGCACATTGCGCGCCACATACTGTTCTGCCGTGGCATTACAGTTAATGCTGTTTACTGCGGCCACCTGCTGTATCGGAGGAGGCGCGCGCGACGATCTCGTTGAAGAAGTACCACCACTGCTGCTGCGATGAATCGTCTACATGTTTTCGTCACTCGTCATCTAGTGCCCTCCGCTGTCGCGCGTACCGTTTGAGTTATCAACTGTCGATAGATGTCTTGTCAGTTCACTTACACCACGGGTAAGTTACACGCGGGCAATACAATAAAAGGAGCATCTATCCGATTTTGCGTTCACATGCGACAATTCTATTGTGGTGAATGAGCTCTAGATTCGCTTGAGAATCTTTTCATAATTCCTGTATTTGAGTAAACAAATCGCGTGAGCGGAGCAAATAACTCAGCGATCGGCAAAATGTTGCTCTTCTCATCCAACACGTCCTCCTCCCCCTTACCGATGCTTGGTTTTCTATTGAGATGGAGGAGCAAAGCTCTCTGCTGTGTGGAATCAGTTTTTTTGAATCTTTCACAGCCTTGATTGCGGTTTCTTCTGCAATTTTCTTCTTTTAGAAATTGGTGATCGCTTCTTTCAATGGAAAAATAGCTTTTACACACTTTCATTGCTCTCTGGTTCACTCTCTTCCATCGCTTTGATTTAAAAAAAATTAAATTGGAAAAAAAAGTAGGACTAAATCTCAGTTTCTGAATTTCTCTTCTATTTGCAATCTTCAAGCAACTGCCCAGAAATTCAGTTTTTTTGTTCTATATCTTTGCCTTCGTGATTAAAAAGCAGACCTATGCTTCCAGAGGGGCAAGCAGAAATTACATTGTACGATGGTATTCAAACAATTTGCTGATCTCTGTGGCAAACAAGTCGCTTTGCATATCACTTGTTCTTCCTTCGCTCTTCTTTTTCCTCCTCCTTTTTTTGTGTCATAAGTAGGCGTCTGTTTTGCAAGTTGTTTGCTTCTATAAGATTTCTACCCAACAATGGCAAAACAACGCCATCTACAGTTCCAGTTGGAATGCCATTCCTTGCCTAGGTGACTCTTACAGCGTCATATGATCGAATTCGTACAGTTTACCTCTTCCCCTCCCTGTCTCCCCTCGTTGATGTTATCGTTGAGATGTTGTTCGCTACATTCTTATTTTGTTTCTTTTATTGTTTTT